AATAACAGTAATTATTGCTGTAATCCATTTAATTGCCAGTTCCAGGACCGTGGTACTGTGGATGATGGCTCACTTGCACGTCTCCCTGGGACACTCTGTGGCACTCAGCCATCATTAATGTTATTAGTTCCACCTCTGCTTTTTCTGCTATGGCAAGTCAAAGTAAGTCCTGTGAAAAGAGTCTATTTCTCTTGCTACGTAAAACCAACATATGTAGGAATGCTTCATTTTTTGGCCTTGCTGTACACCAGTGGTTCCCAACCTTTTTCCTGAAGGGCCCCCTTTTCTAACATTGAGTAAACAGGCAACCCCTGACCTCCTATTTCATATTAAATGTAATACATAACAATTACAGTACAGAACAAACTGATAAACTGTACAATGAACCCAAATAGTGAACACAATAACAGCAGCCTTTGTAAAACAAGCGATTTGAATGAATTTTGAGCAAATTATTTCCTGTGAATATTGATCAGAGATGAGTTTTCCTGCCGCCACCTAGCAGGGGTCCCTACCCCCAGGGAACCGCTGCTTTACACTTTGTTTTGTTGAACCGTGGCAGAAGAATTCCAGAAATCTTAATGGGTATTGAACAAGCACATTTCTGCAATGTGAGGAAATTATGTAGATTGATGTTATGTGAGATGTAAGAATAGTTAGGGGTCAAAGGCTCGATCGGTTATGTTCTTGATCAAATTACCTTTGTAATAAGTGAGTGGTTTAAGTTGATTGTAGGGTGTTCAGATGGAGGTTAGAAGTTATTCAATTTTAGTTGTTTTTCAAGTTTTTCTCTTAAATTTGATATAGCACATCAATGTGGGTATCTTCGGTTTTCCTGTATGTGTATCCCCCCCTTACACTATTTATTATTGTATTTTTTTTTATATATATATTTTTTCAAGTCATTACATGAACATTTATTTTACAGTTATAATGCAGATGGGACTACTATAGTGAACAGATGTAACAATGTTGTGCAAAGTCATCATAATACTTCAGTTTGTTGTTTTTTGGTATGTAATTTATCTTCCATAATGAATATGATTGTTTGTATTTGTGTATAAAATGGAAGAGTCTGACTCACGTTTAAAAAAGATAGATAGATGGATAGATGGATAGATGAATAGATGGATAGATGGATGGATAGATGGATAGATAGACGGACGGACGGACGGACAGACAGACAGATGTTTGGTACTATCACTAGTCAGTTGGCTGTGCCGTCATAAATCTATTGAGCCTTTTGACAGGCAACACCATGATTCTTCAGCTCTGACCTAACTCACCTTTAAGCTGCCTTTAACTCCTCCTCTTACCCAAGCAAAGAGCCGACACTCTGCAGCCTGACCTGGCCTTACACCTTCATTGTATCTGCTCAGAGGCTAAACTGCTGTGGCTGGGCCTGGCTGGCTTGATAGGCAGTATCATCTTAACGCCATGGCCTGCTCAGTAGTCCAGCAGTCATCCCACCTTATCTAGCCCCACTAGTCTTAGAAATCAGAAAACTTTTCACACCGTTCTCTCACCTAGTGCTCACCTAGTGCTCTTTAAAGCATCTTTGAATCCTATCCCCACCCAAGCAAAGAGCATATACTCGGTGGCGTGACGAGGCCTTACAGGTGTCTTCATTGTATCTGCTCAGGTTAAACTGCTGTGGCTGGCTCTCTGGCTGGAAAGGCAGTCGTAATGTTCTGGCCCGCTCCAGCCACATCACTGTTAAACCGGTTCTGCTAGTTTTAATAATCACTAATTAGCATCCCTGTGGTATAAGACATTTTTTAGTACTGTGTTGATGTGGTTTGATAAAATTTGATCAAACCCCATCAACACAAAGTCGATTAAGTCAAAACTCAAACTAATAAAAAGGAATATTATTTTCCCAAACTTTGATTTATTTAGTCATGAATATTTAATATTATAGAGAAATGTTTAACGTTTGAAGCCAAGTTTTTAGAGGCTTCAAATATTTAAGAGCACAAGAAAACATAATAGCTTTGATTTTGTTGTTATCTAATGTTAGTCTGATTATTAAAAGGGATCAACATCAGGATCAGGCCCATCTACAGAAACAGCTGGGCGCCTGAAAAGGTCCAGATAATGGGCCCTCCCTCAATCCGATTTACTCATATCAGTGCATGTGCATGCTCCCTCCCTCATGTGTAACATGATTATTGCTGGGCTTATTGCGCCACAGAAAGCTTTCCCCTCTTTACCCCCCTATGGACGGCCCTGGTTGTAGTTTATCAGGTTATAGTCCTGTGTTTTTAAGGACCCATGTATACGATTTTGTGGCATCTACCGGTGAAATTGCAGATTACAGCTAACTGAATTCCTGGCCTGGGAGTGAATACAGGCTGTGAAGTGTGTAGGAGAAACTACGGTAGCAGCAAAACTAGCAAAAAACATGAAAACCCCTATCTAGAGCCAGTGTTTGGTTTGTCCATTCTGGGCTACTGTAGTAACATGGCAGTTCAACATGGCGGAATAAATTGTGGATGGATCTTGCCGTATGATTGTTGGGCAAGATACATAAACCTAAAACACGTCATTTTAATTATGAATCAAATCTCTCAACAGCAACATTGCCTGGAAAAACAAGTGTTTTATTTTTCACACCTTATTGCATCAGAGAATAAATGCTCTGTTAAATATGACTGCATAGAGACCCATCACTACATCCTGTTTTCTGATGTGTCCTTGGTAAAGCATTACTGCAGTGTGCGTAAACATAATCATATTTAGTTCACATAAATCCTTAATAGAAAATAAAAATCTCAGTAGCATGACTTTCCTCATGGCTCACAATCATCAAATTTAATCTTAGGTCAATGAAAAGAGGAAGGATCTGAATCATTGGAGGAAGATGAATTCATTTCATATTCAGTTATTCTGTCAGTCAAGTCACATTTACTGTTTATTCAATTTCCATTTGCCTTTTCAGTCTTTACGAGCACAATATATTTAAAGGACAGAATGCTTGCCTGCTCCATGCATTGCCGTTATTTATTTAAATGGAATTAAACAGATGTAAATATGAGGAAGAGTGAGGATGCAAACAATCTACAGTGAATGGGGAATCGGGTAAAGAAACACCAGAACAAAACAAAGGCCTGTATGCCTCAGGATAGTGACAGGGGGACAAAAATAGCTCAGGAGAACATCCACTGCCAGTTTCTGACCAGTTTGCTTCAAATCCTCAGTTAAAAAATGCAAAGGTGCAGAGAACTACCCTGTCCCTCTGCCAGTTTTTCAGTCTGTATACCATTGATATCTTCGACTGAAAGAGCTGGTATCTTCCATTTCGACTCTGTTTACTGCAGATGAAAAAGAAATATGCACACGACTGAAATTAATGAGACGCTTGAGAAAACAATGTACTAATATTCTGCATTTTCAGCAGGTCGGAGAAAGAAACGAAGGAAATCCTGCGTGTTTAGTATGCACACAATATGATCTACTGACACACAGAGATGGAGACCGTTTTTTCTCGTTTGGATGCATAAAGGATAATTATGGCTGCGTGGACTCCAGGCAGTGGGCTCCAGTAGCAAGGCTGCATTAACTGTAAACCAGGCCCAAGATGCTGTTTTAATTTGATGAACGAGGTCAACACTAGTAATTGTGGAGGGCAACTTGTTTAAGTGTGTTTAAACGCCTGTTTATAAAAGCAGAAGACTAAAATATGCAGCTCAGCTCGAATAAAGAGCAGTTTTTATTAAAGTAAGACTGCAAATAATTATTTTCATTATCAAATAAGCTGTCATGTATCGTCTTTATTTGGTCAATAAACTGTAAATATTGTAAAAAAGACTTCCTAAAGCCCAAGATGACATAATCACCTTGCTTGCTTTGTCTGACAGTCCAAAACCCAAATATATTTAGTTTATTACCTCAAAAGACTAAAAGAAATGTTCACATTAATAAGCCGAAACGAGTAAATTCTTGCTAAAAACAACTCTAATCTAATCACAAAAGGCTTAATGTTGCCGTTAGTTAATCACGATGCAAAATTAACTTTTTTGTCCACCGAACAAACTGATAGTAAATGTTTACATTTTACCAGCCAGTCAATTAGTGATGGGAATCCCGACACACACCGAGTGTGTCAATTGACAATTTGGCTCAGCTCAGCAGTAAAAGTCGTCTCTTTCGGCTTCCAAGCGGCTCTTCATTTGGTTCCACTTCTGGCTTTTATAATTCTGCCAAATTCAGAAATATTTTGCACATTATGCTTGGTATAAAAACCCTCAAGGTAAAAACATCAAACACTATTACACAGATATTTAACTTTTTATTCATATTGAACTATGTTTTGTATGTTGGCGACCTGCACGACACATAAAAGTCTCATTATGCTTGGGGTCTTAATGTTATTACCAAAGTGAAATCCTTCTGGATTGTATTTAACAAACATGTTATTGGATCATCCTATTATTCCTTGTTTTGATTTAGAAAAAAAGAAATAGAGCCGACGATACATCACTACACTCAATAGATTATCACAGATTTTTTGGTTTTGGTTGAGTAAAGCACATCTATCAGCCACTTGCATATTTCACCGGCATTCGGCTGTTGGCTGGTGCTAATTTTGTGCCCTGGCATTATGTGAAAGGTCTCTGGATCAAAATTATTACGATGGATCCTCTGGTGACCTTGAACATCTGTACCAAATTTGACGGAAGCAAATGCAATAATCATGGAGACATTTCAAGCAGAAATGTCAACCTCATGGTGGCACTGCAGGGAAAGTCAGGGGATCACCACAACACACCACAAAGTCCTTACAACATATCCCTCAAAGAGCCTGAATCTCTGTAGTTGTTCAAATTCCAGTCTGGACCAAAGTGCTGGAACAGCCAACTGACCAACATTAATGCTGCTAGCGTGGCTATGATAGACGTCTATAAAAATGAGTTGCCAATTACTTGGAATAAGAGCAGAGGAGCCTGATTATGAGGATAATAAAGGAACAGGAATAGGGACAAACTGAGACACACATGTTAACAGTACTAAAGCAAAGTTTATTAGAATAAACAAAGAAAACATCACAAAGACAAAATAGCTATAAATCTATCATTTTCCTCATTTTGTTTTTCGTACAGCGTGTTTACTCCAGACTTCAATAATAAACTTGAAAAGTGTAAATCAGTCAGATTTAAACTGTGGGGTGTAGAGGATCTGCTAACCTTCAACCTGCCTGTAACTGTCACAAATATCCCAGAGAATGTTTTTGGTGACGAATATTTCTGGGTTTTTTTCCTATTTAAACTCCATTATTTCACACAGACGCAGTCACACATGCGCGCACACACACACACACACACACTCAGACCAATGTCTTCACTTTGGTCTTTTTGTTGTCCAAACAGGGTGTTACACACTTCGCCCAGAGGCCTGTCTAAATGAAGCGCACTACAGTCATCATGTAGCACCTTCAGGGCCTCAACGGTTGACAAATCATTGAAGTCTGAAGGACGAACATGCACACACTGTTTATTTATAATTATTTACAAATCTGCAAAACCCAAGCCAAGTTCGCTTCCTTGCCGTTTTGCCCATCATTCCTCCTCGGGACCCTCCTCTGTCGCTCAATGGGGGTCCGGATGACGGTCGAGGTTAGTGGATCCTCGTCAGCTCCTCCACAATCTTAATGACCTCATCCACTGTGGCCTCACGCTTCATGCCGCTTCCGTCATCGATCTGAAATTGAATGACACCAAATAGTGAGCCTCACCTGCTGAGACAAACACCGCCTGTGCCACTTTAGAACAAATAAATACGTACATGTGGAGAGGGAGACGCGTGTCTTCAGTGGTATTGAGTCAACAGTTGTGGTAATATGATTTTAAAGGTCCTGTGTGTAACATTTAGGAGGCTCTATTGGCAGAAACATAATATAATATCCGTAGCTATGTTTTCAATAGTCAATAATCGACTTAAAGTAAGAATCATTATGTTCTTGTTACCTTAGAACGAGCTGTTTTTATCTACAGATGCTGCCATTTTGAACCACCATGTTTCTATAGTAGCCCAATAGCAACAAATACAATGGCTCTAGAGAGCCACTGTAGTTTCTCATTCACATTTGGACCTTTAAACGTCCTGGGAATCTTTTATCTTTCTTATACAGTATTGATTGCATAACTTCCACCTATTTTTCTTCAATGATTGCATTTTATCAGTGTATTTTTGTGCCACTTTTCTTCTGTATGTCAGTGATGTTAATGAACTAAAAACTTGAGCAAAATGTAGTTGTTTTGGGCTTTTTCTGCTGTACAACATGACTTTTTCCAGTGGTGTTTCAAAATTTTAATTAAGGCTACCAATAACCAGTAATACTAATTAAGGTTTGGTTCAATTGAGTTCAAACAGGGTGCTGCTATTATGCATGTTGCCTCCCTAGAGAGGCTCTGCTACACTAAATGGAATAGAGCCTTAATTAGTATCATCTGTAACTTCTGTGTCTACCCTACTCTTTCTTATGTTTTTCTGTTGTTTTCTAGAGTGAATAATTAATTAGACTAATAGTCAAATTACTAGATTTTGAATAGTTGCAGCACAAATTTTCCGATAGTAAGATAACGGGTCAATTCATTATTTTATATTTTGACAAGGATGCAAGTGAGCAACTAATACTGCAACATATTTTATTTTTAAAGCAGTGTTCCAACTTTAGTAGAATTTTGGCTTAAAAAAAAAAACGTTTGCTGGCAAAGAAATCATCAAAATATTTTGGACTGTTTTTATCAGCTGGTCTAGAGAGGCGAACAGGGAATAGCCTTTGTTTATGAGGTAAAAGTAAGATTTTTTTAAAAATGCAATGAGAGTTAAGAGACACTAAGCACAATATGCTTATTTGTTCTGCCAAAAGTGATTTTGCCACCTGTTCTGCCATGAAGCGTATTCCCAGTTCTCAGCACAGGAGCCACTAATAAAACTGTCTTAAGGCTCTTTGAAGGTTCAACATTGCTTGAAGCCAAAAACAAAAATAACACCACCATCTTAGTTTGCCTCTTCACCAGATGTTTCTGGGCGAACACAATACACTTGTTATCAGGGCAGAGGACCAGGGTCTAATAACAAGCTTATGCCTCCCTTTAATTTAAGAAACTTCTATATTTGTGCACATTACAGGTCACTACAAGCTTTGCCAATAACCTGGCAATGAGAGAACTGTTAAGTAAGCTTAATGCCTGAGTGCTTAATCCTCTTTTCGAGTATGAAGCAACTCAGTGTGTTCACAGTCTTGAAATAACTGACTCTTTTTTTTCCACATAAATATAGGATAAAAAAAAAGATGCAGAGAAAAAGGATCATTTGGTTCAACATCTAGTAGATAAAGTATGGATGAACATAAGCTCCTACCTGTAGAGTACTGACGACCTCCTGCATCTTGGCTCGGCCGAGATCCAGGAAGCTCTCAATCAGATCCCCGTCGATGAATCCTGTGGCCTGCTCTGTCTTGCGCTCTGTGTGGAAGGACCTCCAGGTGCAGCGGAGTCAAGGAAAATCAATACAAGGCTGATGATTCGCCTGAGGATGGCACTTTAGCTACAATATCACATTTTCTTACCTTAGGCACAGTCAACAAATATTCAGCGTGCTGTGTGGAAAGTCTAATAAAAACATCACAGTTCAGAAAAACAGGCAGCCGGTGTCAGTCACTCAATCAGGATCCAGATCCTTTAATACCGGACTCCTTTAAATGTATCTGTGCTGTATGTGCAATCACCCATAATTCTCCAAATCTCTGAGTTTACTGCCTATAACACAACCACAGCGGTCAGTGCTGTGACAGTCTGAATATAAGAAGGATATAAGCTGTGCTCAATCTTGCCCACGCTCTTGATGACCTTGTTGAGGCGGTTCTGCAGGTCCAGGAGGAGGCTGTACCAGCCCTCGGACAGGGACGTCACCAGACCTAACACACACACAGACACACACGTCAGTCAACAACACAATCCTTGTTTTGAAAGTGTGATATTCAGATTTTGCAGATGGTAAATACTTTGGATTTCTTATCAGCAAGAATCAAGGAAAGAGAGTCGATTCATAATAGAACGCAAAACAGCTTTAAAATAAATAAATTAAAAGATCATTAGCGTCACTGCAATCCTCTTAATGCAAGTTTCATGCTTGTATATTGGGACGATGTTAAAAGTAAAGTAGTATGATTTCAATACTTCAATAATTCAAGACCATTCCAAAATGTTTTATTGTAAATGTGAGTGTTTTCCCTGTAAATGTTAACACCACAGAGCTTTCAGGGAGAAGCATGCTTTCCTCTATGCTAAAAACTCAAGATCTGTGACAGTGAGTGCATTATTGTGATGCTCCTGGGAAATAATCTGCACTGAAATTGACAAAAAAAAAACAGGCAAACTGAACAAAAGGTTACACTGATTTGTAATGCAGAGCTTGTTTCCCTTCAGAAGAAAGTGTTGGATACTGTCCTACAGTGGGTTTGACACGAATAGTTATTTTCATTATCAATTAACTTGCCGATTATATTTCTCAATTCATAGATTTACTTTTGTCTACAAAATGTCAGAGAATTATGAAAAATAGAATGCAAAAAATTAAATTACACCATAATTTCCTTTGTCGTCTTAAAAATGTTCTGTTATTTACATTATATACTATAGAATTACTCAGTTTATTATCCTAATTTTTCATTGCAGCTGTCAAAGTCTTATTACAGTAAGTGAGTTTCCATCCACCTGTTTTAATGTACATTTTTATTATATATTAAGAGTGGAAATGTATACACATCTAAAACGAATGTTTATACTTGACTGAGGTGGGAAAGTTAATGTATCTATTAAATCAAACTGTGAAAGTGTGGAAACATTGAGCTTTGTCATATCTTGCTTTAGTTGTGATAATTGTCCACTGATCCATAAATGCCGTATTTCCAACACATTTTCCACATTGTTTTTGTTTTTAGGAGTTTGGACTGATGCTTTTTAAATTAGGTCTTGTTGCGTCCTCTTCTCTGGCAATGCTGTAATGACACCCAACTGGAGAATCAACGCCACCAGCTGAGCTTTATCTCAACAAACCAACTCCTAATATTCATGAATGAATGAATGAATGAGTGAATAGTAGTGGATGGAAATACATGAATTTGCATTCTTTTTTGCAATTTTCTGGAAATAGGGTTAAAATGTGGGCTTAATTTGCCAGACTAATCAATTAATTGATAGATTGTTTCAGCTGTTGTTGACAGCACCTGTCGCAGAGACTGACACAAAACACCACAATCAACCATTTGCTGACTCCATCTCACTGCGTCATCAGTCCAAATTACCTAGTGTACGTCACAAAGTGAATCAATAACCTGTATAAGGATGCATACAAATATTCACTTGAAAGTTTTATAAGGATGGATTCTAGGTACATTCTTTTAATTCACAGTGAAATATGAAACCAACTGTTGTGTACACCTCTCAAGTCTTGAGAAGAAAATTTACCAGCAGCAAGAGGCTTTCTAAAGCAAATGTCTGTGTTTCCAAGAACAAATTTATCAAAAGTTAGTCCACTTGTTGATTGCTTTTTGGGTAGAATAATCGTGTGGCCTGCAGCTTCTTCCCAGAAACATCTAATATATCACAGCATCTCAAGAAGATAAGACCAGTAGGGCTATTTTCCTTCATTACACACTCAAGCCCATAATGTTTTACGGGCTAATGTAGAAAGTTTTTACTGGAATGTGCAATGGGTTCTCATTTTCTGTTAAACTCTCCTCAGAGACTTTTTAAAGAATCACAGAAGGTGTTGAGGTGAAATAACCTGCTGTGTGTTACTGCTATGGGAGTACATGGTATAAATTACTGCTGTGTCCAAATGATGTGCACTCTCTATTTTTCATCTCTGCCATTATTATTAC